ACTGAATAATAGCTGCATGATGGATTTACACATAACCAACTAAGACATCCCTCCCTCAGAACTTAGTGATGATATAACAGGGCCATAAATATTTGCATAAACATGTGTAAGTCTGGTCATGTCCAGTCTGCAGCTTGTTACACAGTCTGATTCTCCATTAAGTCAGTGTAGATAAGAGCAGCTATAAATAGAGATTAAATGACATAAAGTGTGGTGAAATGATGAATAATCCCATAATATCAGATAATCCCTCTGTCCCTCCATCTTTCATTAATAAAAAAATATGTATGTTTGTAGTAGATGTTGTCATTGCTTACCTGTTCTACCTCACAAAGTTTATCAAGAGAGGCCTTAAATTTCTTCATACAAGCTTCAGCCAGGTGCAGGTGAGTGGAGTACTAAAATGCAGAGAATGTCAATGTCATAAAGATGCAATTGTTATAAATGAACTGATATACATTTGTAATCACACCTACCATGCTGAGTTCTTTCTGATACTGCGGCATCTTCTTCAGCATCTGGGAGAGATCTTTAATGTTGGCCTAAAGTAAACAAATTATTTGAGTTACATTTTTAGAGTGGCGGCAAACTAAATAAACAAACAAAACTCACATTATCAGTGCACATTCTCTTGCTCTCACAAAACCCACGTAAAAGTTCTGTCACTTTCCTGTGTATCAAAACAACATCAATATTCCATGCTATATGATGAATAAATAAATATAACATTTAAAGTCTTCATGAAAAGAGCTTGACATAAAATGCAGTTTTATTATATCTGTTTATATGAGTCTTATATGAGTAAAATTTTTAACTTACTTGGTCACATCAGCTATGTGCATATGTCTGAGCTGAACCCAAAGTTCATCATCTTCATCCAGTAACACTTCCCTCTCTTTTGCTTCTCCAATGCCTGTCGTCTGATATCTGAACGAAATAAAAGTGTGAACAGAACTACACAAATAGGATCAGTTTATTTGACAAAATAAACTAAGGCTTGTAGTTACCTATAGATGTCCTGATTGATTTCTAACAAGTCATATGCCATAGCCTGAAAGGTCAGCTCATGCAGGATGGGTGAAATAGGATCAAAACCACGATCGACAATCAGAAGCTGGGATCTTGCCTTGTCTGCACCCTAAAAATGCATTTAAGCAAGATGGGTAAAATCACACTAATACAAGACGTTAAATGTACTGCATATGAAAAAAACATGTGTCACATTGATTGTAAGCAAGTGATTAAGATTAGATGAATGAAAAGCAAAAACCTATGACATACATGCCTGTTTTGAGACATCACTGGAGCAAGGAAATCTAAGTTAGGAAAGATAGGAGAAAGAAGAAATGCCATAACTTACAGTGAAGACAGAAAATAGAACTGCAGAAGTCCCAAAGCCCATTTTAAAATAAATTTGAAAAAGAAACAAGTTGTCAAATGTGTTGTTATTACTACAAACCAACCTCTCCCATGCTTGGGTTGTCAGCCTTGTGAGCATTGAGACGCTGGTAGACTTCATTGGCCAGTCGAGCATTCTCTTCAGGTCCCCTTTAAGACAATTGAAAATACATACAGAAAAATCTAATTAATGAAAATCCCAAAAATGGACAATGGCTTTTCAGTGGTTGCTACAGGGGTCTTACTTGCGATAACGGATGGCAGGGTATTCCTTCAGTGTGTCACACAGAGTAGCTATCTGCTCTGCGATATTCTCCATCATTTTGTCCCTGTCCAGAGCAGGCTTTGAGCTGTAGAAGGAGTGCATTGAGCCTGGGTCATCTAGGGTAAAGACCTAAACAAAAAGGGTTAGTTCTGGACAAATTACAACGACAATTATGAATGATAAGTCTTAACAACCTGGGACTCATAGGGCAGAAAAGCAACATTGATCTCTTTCAAAGTTTTGATCACTTTAGCAACTCTGGCTTTCCCAATCTGAGCAAAGAGCCCATCTGGACAGGCTGTGAAGCAAATAAAACATGTCATTAATAACTATAATAAAAAAGGTAGCATTAGAAATTACTTTTACAATATTATGTGGGTCATATAAACAAATAAAATAAATGTTACCATCGGTAAAGAAGATGTGTGCTGCTTTGTAAGTAAAGGCAGTGTCTTTAAAATCATTAATCAGAGCTTCAACAGACTGAAAATAATAATAATTAAAAATAAAGTTTATTTTTAAGAATAAGATGTGTAATACTCAAATAACTGTCATAAGAAACACCAAGCAAAAGCTGACCTTCTCCATGGGTGAGATCAAATAAATAGCCTCCAGACTTGATATTGGTTCCCTGCGCTTGTTGATGTCCTCCACAACTATAAATGAAGAGTGTGAATAAATATTAAAACTTTTTTTTTTTTTTTTAAGTTACGCATTTGGGTACATTCAAACTTACTTGTAACACCCTCTGCCAAAATATCAGACATCTTGCAACAGGAGGATAATATTCTCATGCTCAGGTGGTCAACAATAAGAACCTAAAGAACAACATGAGTCAGGCCCAGAGGAGCTTGCAATTGTAGCTCATAATGCAACAATTTTTACCTTCCATTCACCATCCTTCTTCACACTCTTGATAACTCCATTTATGATTTCTAGAAGAAATAATGATGATAATAATAATAATAATAATAATAATAATAATAATAATTAATAATAATAAACATTGCATGCAGTAAAGCAATAAACACACACATATATATTCCAAACTGGAAGAGTGGCTACAACAGATACCGGGAAAAACATCTCAGTCCAGAAAAGTGCAGTACTGGGAACAGCAAAGATATTGCGCAGAAATCTCAAGCTCCCAGGCCTCTGGTAGAGGACCTGAGCTGAATGAGGGTGAGAGAGACCTACCACCGTGGAAGGTGAGAAACAAATTTTATATATATATGTGTGTGTGTGTGTGTGTGTGTGTGTGTAATATATATATATATTATATATATATGTATATATATATATATGTGTATGTATTTTATATATATATATATATATATATATATATATATATATATATATATATATATATATATATATATATATATATATATATATATTAGCAATTATTTGAATAATTCAGGTACTTGCAGTAATTCATCTAATGTATAATAAATTCCAAAAATAAAAAGCAAATCGTGAGAAAATCGTGTGTGAGCGGTCAAGTGCTGCATCAGGTGGAATCACATGATGGACAAACTGGTTAGTGGGGCACACCTGCAGGATGTTGGTCTGTTCTATCGAGTTTTATCATCTTTAGTCTAGATTATGAATTAACTAAATACAATTGTTGCATCTAAAACCAATGACTGTGTCACCTATGTGTCATTATCTATTGTGAAAGTTTTTAAGTAATTAGCGAAGTTAGCTTTCAACTTACTTTGACTTGACGGCACAACAAAGGCCTCAACTTAATAATAAACATATAAACCTGAGGCATTACTTTAGTGTGATGTTTTAACGCGTTTCTACTTCTGCCTGTGTACTGTTGAGAAGTCTAAAAACTGCGATGTAACAGGAAGTAAGATTTTCCTTTATGTCGCAGGCTCCTCAGAGAAGGTTCGAGTCATTCTGCAAAGCTGCCCTGTGGTTGTACATGATGACCCCCTTCTACTCATAATTGTATCGTATGCTAATGTATAGTTTAGTTACTTACTTTCGCCTACCACTGCTTTTAATCCACTCGGTGCCATCTCGACTGCAGGCTGCCACTTGGTCACTTCCTTGTTGTTTGTGGTAGCTGCTGCTGTCGGTGGTGAGACAAGCCCAGCCAAAAGTGACCAAATGCTGCCCTCTAATGATCACTATTTTAATGGCATCAGTACATGGTGTGAATGAAATGTGATGATAAATTGGCTGGAGGTCAGACATTTTAATATCAGGAAGAAGATTCAACTGGCAGCTGTTGGATTCTAAATTCCTTGGAGGCTATCATTTAACATGGGGCCAATAAATGGGTCTGCAGCTTGATGTTATTTACAGTAGTAGTTATAAGTTATGAATATGATGGATAAAATGCCCTAACTGTTAAGCAAACCCACATTGATTACGAGCTGCTATGTCTATAAACAAATATTACTACATTATTTTTCGTAATAAATACTGTTTACTGTTGTTTATTAATCAAACAAAAACAAGGTATATTTTCAGTGACATAAAATTTGCTTTGTTTGTTTGTTTTCTTAGGATTGTATAACATGTCCCTACAATACACACAAAATAATTATGTCATTAAAAGTGCTTACATGGCTGATGATGCTTGGTATATGGTGCGCACGCCCTCTTGTGTCCATTTTACAGCATTACATGGCAAATGCATAGCTATGATGTCGTGAATGTAAAAGGTGCACGCTTTATCTTTGAGTGGAATAAAAATGCGTTTTAGGTACATGCTGTTATAGAAATTTTTATTCTAGTCTTTACTCTTTTACTAGGTTTGGGTTGTTGATTAATGGTTTTGGGTTTTGCTACTAGCTAACTAATAACTTGCTCTCATCCTGTTATCTTATGTTGACACTTTGGCCCCTCTGTGGGGTATAAACTCTATATGCATTGTTATGTTACAGCTTAGGGACCAACAGGGACAGGCATTTCTGTGATTGTGCCCACAGATGCTTTAATGAATCAGACTCCTTGATTCAAGACTTCTCAGTTCTTTTATTGTTTGTAGTCTAGAAATTCCACAACGTCAACTATCATAATCTCTCGTACATATTGTCACATACCTATATAAGAAAAATTCTACTACAAATACTTATTAATAATTCACTGCTTTTTTTTTTTTTTTTTTTTTTGTAGATCAAGAAATCTACAACTGCCAATACAACACTTCACTAGGAAAGATTCTAACCATCTCCTTCCAAGCTTCTAACACAGATGAAGAGAGCTGCATAGGTAATGTCACAGGACATGTTGAAAATGTATCATGTTTGTAACTACATCAAGCATATGATGGTTGATTTGTTGTATCTACATAGAAAATGAAAACACACCATCAAAGTTCAGAAGTATACATTTTTTTCTTTAATTAAACAATATAAATACATGTTACATGCACGCTTTATTTTATTCTGGTAGGGAATTATTTCCTCTGCATCTGACCCATCCTATCATCAGCAGCAGTGAGCTAATGCAGTCACCCACCAGATGTCTATCTCCAGATCATGAGCTAGTCTGAAGATTTTGCCTATTATGCATGTTATGGATAGATCGGGGAAACCAGAGTGGACAAAAAGCCCTCTCAGAGAAACAAGTAAAAATTAAACCTGCAACCTGGAGTAGAAAGAACAGACATGTGGCTGTTTGCTGCAGGTGTTCCAATCAGTAGGAGCAAGTAGAGGGTGCTCTTGGAAAAAAGGATCAAAACTCAAACACAACAGACTCCAGGCACTCCAGAACATTAAAAAAAGTTAACACATCGCACATCGGCTTAATTAAACCCTGATGAAGACCAGTTAAGTTCGAAACATGTTGGCTTTGGCCATTCAAATAAAGGCCTTTTAACTATATTTTTCCTCGTGCGATGTGTTAACTTTTTTCTACTGTTCTGGAGTGCCTGGAGTCCGTTGTGTTTGAGTTCTGCAACCTGGAGTGTTGGCCACTCAGCCACCGTGCCACTCCAAGTCAAATATCAAAAGCAAAAAGAATATCAAAACAAATAAAGTTTTACTCCACTGCTCAGACATATATAAGCAATATTTGCTCATACTTTCAATCTTCAATCACTTCATTAGACATTGGTATCAAATGGAAAAAAAGTGTCCTTAGTTTTTTGATTCCACAGACATCCGCTGCTCTCTGCGAATACGCATTCTTTCTTTGAAGTCCTCAAACTCTTTTCTCTGCAAATAAATGAAACATTATCAGTCACAAAATAATTATGTGTGTTTCAGTTCCTGCCAAGCCCTAACTGTGATTTGTCAAATTTTAGAGAAATGCATTTAGTGTGATATACACTTACGTGAAGTTCTTCGTCAGGAGGAAAGATCTCCCTCTGTTGCGGAAAAGTAAAAAGTAAAGTAAAGTAGTAGTAAAGGGACTATAGAACTGTATAGTTAAGATACGAATGTAAAATGAATATGCGTAATTTTATATACCTTTCTTTTGATTACATACTCCTCAAAGTACTCGGCTTGGTTTGAGACCCAAAACATTGCCACGGGAAAAGACAAGTACAACATCATCTGTGAAGACATAACACGACTGTCAATGCATGACCTCAGTTAGCCTCATGCTAACAACTAGCTATACCAGCTCAACTGTCAACACTCCCAAAAAACATATAATCGATTTTACTACGGAGATTTTATAGAATCATGGAGAACGATACTTACCCTAAATATCTCTATTTTGACACCCATGCTGCTAATCTACCCTAGGTATTAGCATTAGCATTACACTGGCTATTTTTCCCGATTTTTCCGGCAGCTTCTACCTCTTTTTTATTTTTATTTTATTTTTTTACAAAGGGCTATGCCGCCACCTACCGACAATAAACAGTCGCCAACATTATAAATCTGCAGACGCGGAGCTGCACTCAGAGGGCTGCACTCAGAGGGCTGCACTCTCTTCTTTCGCTTTTGGTTAGTGGTGAGTTAATTTTATTAACATGTCCAACTTTAAGTTAAATTAGAATTTTAGGCTTTTTTTTTTTTTTTTAATAATTATCAAAAATTACTGGAACAACAATGACACCACTACATTACGACATTGTGTGCCCTTACTTTTCTAATTACCTATATCAATATGGATTCATGGGGAATTATGTTACAGTATTCTTCACTTTTGCATTATTAATCGATCAATCCAGAATCTTCTACAAACTTAGCCATTTCCAATTATACCTTTTTATTTATAATAAATAACTATTAACAATTGTTAAATAACTATTAACAACAATATTTGCCCTCCATTTGAGCTATTAGTATTCATCATATTCATAAATAATTATAAATGACGAATTAAAAACAAGCTTCACCTCGTAAAAATAAGGACTGTAGATGGTTTCAATGGCAATATTGAAATGCAGTTTGGTATCACACATCAAATAATGTAAAGGTTATTTTAAAGGGTCCTTATTATGCTATTTGCTGATCTATGTGTTGTTTGCTCATCACAAACATACCTGGAGTATTTTGTTTAATTTACACACAATATCCTGCATATTTAGGATGAGTTCTTCTCTCAGACTAAAAACACTTTGCGTTGTGATGTCATGTGGTTATATAGGAAGTGCTCCATTGTGTTTTTAAACTACACCTTCACTATAGAATCATTTGGATGATTTCAGTCCTGGAATTGCTGATCTCTACTAAGGTTGAACAGAGTACTTTGAGCTCTGGAAATGTAGACAGACATAATAATAAAAGGCGATTTTATACCTGAAGGTGTGTCAATGAAACAAAACACACCAGGTATAAAGACCAAGACGAAATCCAGGCACTCCAGTTAAAGTTGCACGAGGAAAAGTATAATTATAAGGTCTTGGTTTTGATTATATTTTTTCCAAGAGCACTTTCTACTTTTTTTTTTTTTTTTTTTCACTGATTGACACTTGTTGCAAACAGCCACATTTTTGTTTTTCTATACATTTTCAGGTATGCTTTGATAAGTTAACAACATAATAACATAGCTTAAATAGGCCTATAGGACTTTTAACATGCAAAAATCGCCATGACTCACCATAAAATAGTACGAAAAATAAAAGGTGCGGTAATAGACAGTCTTTGTTTAATTCTAACTACAAAAAAATCATTCGATAGACAGGGGACGCTACACCAACGAAAATAGAAAGCAGTCACCTGAGCGCAGTACTCTGAATGCAGCACCCTGCTTGCAGCTCCGAGCCTGCTGCATGTATTTATTAGCTTTAGGTTGTTTATACATGTCTGTGGTTTCTAATATTGGGTTTCTACGCAAAGTAAATCACTAACTCATAACAATACTCAAAACTTTATCATTTTGATCCCTTAGTGTAGACGATGACAAAAGTTGATGTGAAGTAGCTTATTATGATTTGATATAATAATGCATTATTATTATATAACCGAAATCATGCAGTTAACATGTTAAAAAGTTTTATCCACAGATGAAATGTATTTAAATACAACTCGTATCTCATTTTGAGAGCAAAACTATGCTTTTTGTGAGACGTCCTTTACGTTACGAAAGGCGTGCGTGTGACGTCACTGACAGCGAGAGGTGTTCAGGATCCTCGGAGAGAAAGATCCCGCGCGCCCTGGCAACCTGATAAAACCAGGTAAATGCCATTAATCTACCTATCATCATGCCTCATTAAACTGTAAGCATAGACGGTAAGACTCAAAGTACACACTATTGTATTATATGAAGAGGTATTGCTGTTGCCCGGCGTTCACTGAGATCGTTCACCAGTACGGCGGCCTACTCTGGTTAGCTAACGTGCTAACTAAAGCTAGCTGCCAGTTGTCTGTCCAAAGACACAATAACCGCACCTATAATACACGTCTAATTCACCCCATATTCACATTTATACCACTCACAATCAAAATTACGCATTTATAGCGGAAGAAATAGGGCTACGGTTACTGTGTTAGTCATGGATTGCTAATTTGCTCGTCGACTGTCTTATGTTGTGGAGACGCTGATGGCGCACACTCAGTCTGGGCATTTTGCAAAGAATGGGACGGCTAATGCAAAATGGAAGTGTTTTGTTCTTGAACCACAGTTTACTGGGTTACTCGAAATAATAACACATTCCTTAAAGTGACAATCTGTTGCATTAGATATAGCATTAACGTCCATGGCGAGCCATGACTTTACTGTCCCCGTGGCCTAAGGAAGGATATCGCCTCCTTGGATAAGCTTTGATCAGGAGCTCTTTGCTTATGCGTCTCTGTTAGCACATCTGGAAATTGTGGTTTGTCCCACACAGATGTGATTGTTTCTAATGATTTTGATACATGTACATATGTGAAATGAGTTACCTTAGGAAATTATAAGACCATAAATCGGTGACCGGTGTAAATATCAAAGTAATCTCCTGACATTTGAACGTATGAAATTGCTGAAATAATAAAGCCACTTCGCCACAATTTTATCTATGCTGCAGGTCTTGTTTAAGCCATACGAAGAACTCCCTATTTATTTGTGTCTTTTTACTTTAACAGAAACTATTTGTCTCTTCCTAAAGCTTTGATGTTTTCTCTATTTGTACTATTGGTATCATCTTATTCACAATGACTTGAGTGCATTTTAATAACCCGTTTTAATACCCACCTGTCAGAAGTGAGTAGTTCTTGCGTGAACTAAAATTGCTTTTACTTGTTGTATTTGATTATAATGATGTAATATATACTGTGAGCCATAATGGCCAGTCACCCAATGAAATAAATGTGGACTGTATGCAGCTGTAACATTTCTGTACATATTTCCATGTAATACTGGCTAGTAATGTGTCCTGTGCGTACGTATCTTGCTCCTTTTTTTACTTGTTCAGATCATATTTTATTCTGTTCTCTCCAGTTGTGTTGCCATGGTAACTCCATCCTTGGCCTAGTTGAGAATGACCTCTGAATAAAAAGGAGGCTGTGGTCTGGGAGAAATGAGTGAAGCATTTGAGTAAAACTTGATCAAGGTCTGGATGTTTTGCTGCGGTTGAGCATACTGTAGAAATTATTTATTCCTCACCACCAAAGTACACCTTTGTTTGTTGTTTTTTTTTTCTGAAATGTTGACAGATAATAATAAAGTTGTACATTTTTTAACACATTTTTGGATTCACTAGTTTTTCATAAAATGTTCTGTCCGTCATTGTAGTTGGTGAAGACATTTCCGGTAGTTCTTTCATCTAAAGATATGAAGTGCTTTTTATGATTTAAACAAAGCATAAGAACATATTGTAGGTCTAAATTATTGTATATTACAGTGCAATTCAACAATTGACTAATTAAAACACATTTCCTTGTGGAGGATTTGAAGTGACAGTAATTGTAAACTACTACTGAAGTATGTTACTTTTTCTCAAGAATAGTTGTAGTGATTCCCAAATGATTATTGTAGATTGTATTTTTAATATCTCACTAGTTACTTCACCTTACTGTGGTATAACTCATTGTCCTTATATGGAAATTTTATTTCTACTTTTGTATTTGCCCTGTTCTTCAATGTCACTGGGGCAACTTGGAGCAGTGGGCATCTCAGTACAGCGTCCAGGGACCCATCTTAAAATTTTGAGCTAGGCTTGAGTCAGGACTGCATTAGTGAAGGATTTCACATTTTGTGCATGTTTTGGGTTGATGGGGAAAACCAGAGAGCCAGGAAAAAAACACCAAGACCAGTCACCATGTATAATGTCTTATGTTGAGGTCAGGTGCCCTTTCTTTTCCCAGTTCAATATAATTTACAATTGCACAGAGCAGGTTTATTTTACTTAGTTAATTCAATTCTATTGGCATTATTACCTGACCCCGTCTGCTGTCCCATGTCTAATCCCAGTTGTGTGTGGTCCTCTGCAGAGTGACAGCCCAAGGGTTTGTTCCTCTGCAGCTGCTGTTTTGTGGTACATGGCACATGGATGTGAGAATTGTTTCAACCAGGTAGTTGCCCTGTTTATTTAACTTTGAACTTAATTGATTCTGTCAGTTTATTATAAAATGCTAATAAACACAAAATGAGGTCAGTAAGGATGTTTGAGTCTTCTAGAGTAGAAACATTGAAAACTACTTTATTAATTAGTGTAATTAACATTTGTATTCTGCATAATGCATTCATTTTAAACTACATAAAATCAAACTTTAAAAATAATTTTAAGCATTTATATAGTGTTAATATAAATCATGATTTGATTTTAATTATTAAGACCAAAAACAAGTGTGATTTTCATCATCAAGCATTCCTACGTTTGTCTCTCTATGACTGGGTATGGCCCTGACCATAATCCTTATCTCAGTAAAGGCTGCAGGTTATTTACAGGTTGACTCCTAGACAGTCTTGCAGATAACTTGTTGCTTGGTATTGGTGTAGGAACAGTGTCAGGTTCATTGACATTTAAGTTTAGCTGTTTTTTATTTTTATTTTTTTGCATATTCTTGGTAATTGTGAGATATTGGTGCACCCCGTGGTAATTAATGTTAGGAGAGACCTTGGTTGTTAAAAGAAACTTGACTGCTTATTTTGGAGACCATATTGGTATGTGATAATTGTTGACAAGCTCCTGATTTTGTGGGGGAAACCATATTCAAGAGGACTGAAGAGAAAGTGTGTGGGGGCAGGGCATGATATGGAAGAGGGAAACGACATGCAGGGGGTGGGGTGCTAAAGGTGTAACAGAGACTGAGGAGAGCGCAAGGACCTTCATCTATTGATGGGAAAGAGGGGAGGGCCAGAGAGAGAGAGAGCGGGAGGGAGGAGGACTGTGTGGGCTGAGGCTCTGCTGAATGAGGAAGCAGAGAGCCATTTTTACTGTTGAGTAACAGCACACTGGTCGGCTGCGCTAGGACACACCAAGGCAGGAAGTGCTGCTCTGGTTCGGCTAGAGCCAGTCTCCTTTCCCCTCACCTCTCGTACTTGTTGGTCCTGGGGCTGTGTTGGGGAGGCCCCGTAGAGGACACACAATGGAGCGGAGAGCTTGTGGTAACTGGGCCGTTGTACTGCTGAGAGGGGGATGGGGTGGAGAGAGGACCGGCTCTCACAGCTAACACAGCCTGCTGGCTGGAGGCTCCACAGCCTGGACACTCCTGGAGCAGACTCTGCGCCCACAAAGTTAGAATTACTCACTATGTTTTCTGCTGTTTTTTTCAAGTGAACTGAGCCTGAGGATGACACCCCTCTGTGTTTTGGAGAAGTAAAAGGAGAGACCGACTTCATTGTAATTCTTTAAGGCCCTCTTTTGGAAAATACTTTTTTTGCTGTGAAGTTCTTAAATGGATTACATGATGCACGCCAAGTCAAACGATTTGTTGGATTTCCAAAAACTGGACGCCCTTCTGGAAAAAATTGCACATTCAGTCTCTGTGAAGAGGTAATGTAACTAGGAGCAAACTTGAGTTTGAGGGCTTTGTAAAAGCTCCTTCAGGACTTTTTAAAAGCCAGTATGTTTACGTAGTTCTGAAAATGCTTTCCTTTTAGTAATTAAAATACAACTTACATGTACAAACGTTAGGGCTTATTCTGGTTCAGTGACTACAGCTTTGACTCATGGTTTTGTATAATTGTGAGCCCTGTGGTGGCGTTGATGTATTTTCCTCCAGTTTATATATCAAATCTTGAATTTTGTTTGTGTTTAGGACTGTATTGTGGTTGAGATTTTGGCCTGAAGCCGTGGACCTACCTCCCAGTGAGAGGGGGGTGTGGGGGAAGGGGTTCAGAGGAAGAGGGGGTTGTGTGTTGGTAAAGATGGATTCCTGGAAGGGTTTGGCTGTCCCACTCAGAGCAGCTGAAAGTGGAAGATGAAAGAATGGTGGGGTTCCTGAAATCTGGCTGAGTCACTGAGTGTAGTCTGTGTATGTGTCGTGGTCTGATTCATTCGGTAAATACATATAATCCTCCTAGGGGACTTTGAGATGCTCTGTATGCAGATACTCACTCTGGGACAGTCTAAACTCTTATGAGCTTGTTTGTATTTCTTTCGAACTAGATGACCCAGTTTCCTCACACTAAATGTGACAGGGGTCATGGCCACAAGTCTAATTTTACTTTTGTAAACCAAGCAAGACTAAGTACCCAGAAAACAAGCATTCAGGTGTGTCATTTTTTTGTGTAAATGTTGCATGTTTTGCACAGAACTTCGACAGTTTTTGTTTAAAATGTTTGATTCATTGACACAATTACTTAATCTAAGTTTGCTTACAACTTCATCTAAATTAAAAGATGTAATGAAAAACTCACTGTCCTTCATTTACTAACAAATCTGATCCTTAATATTCTTAAACATGAATACTTAAGTTTTATGTAATGACAACTGCTGTCTAACCACAAGGCTGTGTTGTTGGAGTTGTCACTGCGGTCAGATTAATAATTTAGTCTTGGTCTTAAAAAAAAAAAAAAAAAAAAGGCACATCATTCTCACTCTTATCTGGAGTCCTAAGTGAAATACATGCTCCTGCACTTTTGCCTGAACTCGACCCCTCTCACCGCATTAATGATTGATGATTCAGTGCCCCATGCAGACATGTTGGTCGTGTTTTCCCGCGATTTCCTTGAAAGTTCAGGCTGCACCCCCCCACCTCTGTAACCAGAGCCACTTCCTCCACACAGACATTCCACAGCAGTCGCCTGTGATGTACGTCCAGGTCAGGGGTCAACAGAGTGCTGTACCACATAGACCCCAGTTTGTGGCCTCATCATAGCTGATTAGTCTCACATGCCACACAGCTAGCATTAGATCTGCAGTAGCCAAAGAAAACAGTATCCCACAATCATTTTACAATTTAGCAATATTGTAACGGTTCCACTATTACTTTGATATAGAAGATATCATAATTCTGTTCACAGTGCTTTGACAATACTTTGTTGCTCAAAATGTATACAGTACGAAAATGTTGCTGTCAAATCAAAATCAGAATTCTGAGTGCAATTATCAAATTGCAAAAGGCTGCAAAATTATTTAGATAAAAGGATGTTCTTTCTTACTGTCTTTTTGTAATCTAACTCTTGTTTCAATTAGTGTCATGATACAAACATTTCAGACTCTATTTAGATACTACTGAATTGACTCATTAGTCAATACTGATTCTGATACTACGACAACACTGTTTAGACAATAAAGCCTTAGGTCACATGGGTCATTTTCAACATAACGTAAAAATACTCTTTTGTGTTACCATGTGGTGTTATATCTGTGTAATGTCAATCATCCATGTGTGGTCCATACTGGTCCATAGGTGTATAGTAGTGTATGTGGTTTTATACTGATAGAGCTCAAGATCATACAAAAGCTGTTCAGCAAAGCATCATTTCTGTCCTGTGAAAGTGTTTTTTTGGTATCAATACTTGCTCAAATGAGTATCTAGTTTTGATATTTTTAAGTATTGATTAGTATCTGATTTTTTTTTTTTATACTTTTGACAACCCTAGTTTAGATTTCTACAAATTTGAACTGATGATTACAATGAGATTCTTGTATTCATCAGTTCATATTTCAGGCTTCTCTCAAATGTTAGTGTCACTGGCCTTCTTTACAAATGTGCCCTTTGAAAAGAAATATTAATATGTCTATGACAAATATAATCACTATATTTGTCAGAAATATCACAATTATTTATTTTTCCAAAATTGTGGTGCACTACTTGAGTTTGTATGAGTCTTTAGTATACGCCTAATACTATGTAACAGGCTTTGTTTACATGCAGTCTTGTGGCAGAACAGACTGTAGCCTCACTCTCATTAACAATTTATCCTGTTTAGTCACACGTGATGAACATAGCATGATGGGAGATGAGTTTGTAACTTAATCACTCCAGTCTTTTTCCATTGGTTTGGGTTACATACAGATCGAGATCGACCAATATATCGGGCTGATATTTGGCCTTTTTAGCTTATCTGCTGTCAACCTTAAAGTTTCAGTACAGGGTGATGTTTTGTTTTGGGTGACCTGCATCTTAAAAATTCCCATAAAGCTTTATTCGAACATTTGAGTGCAAAGGGAGAACTGCTGAAAACTTGACTACACAGCTCTCTTAAAGGTTTGTGGTGAAAAAAGAGATGTGGTGAGTTTGGAGTAAATTTAAATTGCGTAATTTGGGGGAAAAAACATAAAAATGTACATCTGTAGAGCTTATTAGCCGTCAGTTGCTCTGAATTCTCAACAATTGTGGGGAAAAAAAATCAGATCGAGTTATAGCTCATTTGCAGTTGTCTAGGCTGGAGGAGGATATGACAGATTAAGAAGCAAAAGTCAGTCATTCATGTCTTTTGTAGTATTTAGTGAATTAGTCTGTGTTGAAAAGCTTATTGACTCCCACTTGAGCGGTGCTTAATGAGCCATCGGGTGCCACCTGTCTCCATTACAGTGATATGAAGGGGCTATACAACACCGCGGGCCATCTGGATTGGTTCACATATTATTACTTACTACTTTGTCTGACTGTCTTAAGACTTCCCACATGGCTCAGGTCTATTTGTTCATTCCACAGCAACTCTAAAAGGCATACTGTGTAACTTTACTGGTGGGTGTGTCTGGCACTTGGTAGTTTCCATGGAGATGTTATTGCATTGTCTGGAATGTCCTGCATGGATATTACGTAGATATATTGTTTTGTAATTATTAAACTGTAGGTGATTTATGCCCAAACATAACTTGCATTCTTGCTTGGTAAGGTGACGCTTGGTATGGTGACACTACTTGTTCCCATGGATATTTGTTTGAAGTCATACTGTGGAACATCCAAGGCAAAGCAATAACATTTCCATGGAGGCAAGCATGTGACTGGCCATCCACCAGAAAAGTGACACAGTGTACCTTTTAAGTTATACCGAGGCAGCATTTTGTGTAGTGTAATTAATATGTAAGTGCAAACTCATTCTTAAATTTCAGTATTTTGAAGTTTCAAGAATATCTGTGTGTATATCATTAGTTAAAAGTTGAAACACTTTTCGCATGTCAGGCTTGTTTTCCTGTTGGTACGTGCAGGTTATACAAGTTCACCCTGTGATTTGCTCACAACTCAAAGGTTGACATTCAGGTTTGGTCTCGTTCAATAGATTCTCATTTTGGCATGCTGTTTTTAATAACGCCAAGTTAACAATGTCACGATATTAATATTTTAGATCCCATTTTGAAGAAAGAGCCCGATGATTCCCATTTTGATATCAAATGTCAAATTTTAAATTGGATTTAGACAATGGAATTTAATTTTCAACACAAAAAAATATGTGCTTTATTAACATGTTGTCTTGATACAGATCCAGACCATTCTAAAACTATTCAACAATTTTAATTTTTGTTCCTATTAGTAATTTTTTTTATTGTATTGATACTTCCAAGTCAATATCTAGTTTTGATAGGAGTTTTATTTATCTGGGTATGTTTGACAAATACACATTAAGTTTTTCTTCCTAACTTATTATTATTTTGAGAAAGCAAAAGTACTTGGTGAGTCTGAGCCATGTAGCTGATATTTACTTTAACTTTACTTAGTTCTGGGCAATGAATCAAATTATTTTGAGTAATTTGTGTTTTTAATAATTGAGATTTAGATAAATTGTGAAATCGAGGACTATTATGAAACAAGTTTACTCTTGATTCTTAATATGCGCAAAGCAGAGCTATTGTGCAATTAAACAAGTAACACTGTTTTTAAAAATCTCAAGTTAAACTTTTAAAATTAGACTGAAGGCAGTTTACAATTTCTTAAATAGCATATGATAATGAAAATGTAAAGAGCTTCCCCTGTTTGAAATGCTAGCGTTCCCTGCTCTGACGTCATTTAAAATAGATTCAAAACTGTTAAAATCGTTTGTCCATATCGCCCAGCCCTACTTTAAATGTGTCATGTTTCGTGTCATGTCAATGTTTGTATCAAATCTTCACTGACATTATTGTGTGAAGTCTTTGTTATGCAAGTAAATTAAAATACCTAATTAATCTCTGTGTATGTCATAAATGTTCATTCATGTACTTAGATTCTTCACTGTGTCTTTTTGCCTGAAGGAGATACAAGCAGCAATCATGTGGTGTGCAAACTGCTTCCCTCTTCTCAGAAAGTGACTCATCTAGAATGAGATTAGTCAGAGTGCGCTCAGTTGTGTGTTTATCTTTAGGGCCCTGTTGAGGGGTGGTGCTGGACAAAGGCTAGCGGACGAAACTTGCACAACATAAAAACCCTGTGAGCCCCTTTCATGATATTTATCCATTGATTTGTTTGTGAGCAGTTTTTGATTGTCGTCTATAAAAAAAAAAAAAAAAATCTCCTGATTGTTCTGGCCCTGTGTGAGAAAAGGAACATGTAGTACCTTCAGCTGCCACATGACAAGACTCCCCCTCTATCCCTCCCACCCTCTCCACCTCTGTCCACCCACGTCTCTCTAAACATTCCCAGGTCCAAAGACTTGGTGGAAAAGACTGAAAACCCCAAATGGAACTGCATATCATGGAGGCAGGCTTGGCCCAGATGCATGCTAAAAACAGCTCACATGTGCCATGAGGCAATTCTCCGTCAGAGGAATGTGGTTTTATTTTGTGCTTAAACAGTATTACAGTGTTTGAACATTTAGAAAAGAGCTTCTTGTATAGTTTGATATGACTTCAGCCGGAAGTGTTCACTGTTGTAATGGGTGTTAATCATGTGTAGATTGCAGGTGTTGGGGCCAGATGTTGGTCAATGGTTGTATCAGTGATTTTGATTTCATGATGAAATCAAATTAACAATTCTGTAATGGTGGATGCAAGATAGAGGTGGGAAATATTGAAGTGCTTTTGGTTTTGTCATAGTTCATGCAGTTGGTCTCTTTTAACCTCCATCCTCCTTCTGAGAGTTCACACATCAGTATGATTTATCATTCAAATATCAAAATATTATATTGTCACAAGTTTAGATTCTCAGCCTCAAATGTTGACATTTTTAAATTGCCATATTGCTTCGCTCTACTACTATAGGAGTTATGACGACCTCTACAGGCTATGAGCAACAGCAGGTTGCCTTGGAGACAAAATATTCTTGTGTATAAAACAATCCCAAATAAAATATCCATTAAATTACTCGCACATACACGATTAAAACATATACTGTAGTTTTATTTGATCTGTGAGGCTTTGTCAGAGTGTTAGGATGCACTTCCTTAGCAGCCTAAATCACATAATCCTGATTCTACCTGCTGCCCAAGCATACAGTATTTCTGAATTTACTGCTTCAAGTATCGAAACACGGGAAATTTTGTGTTTTAGCTCCCAACAGTAGTCAAACACTTAAAATGTCATCCTCTTTTGTTCCCAGAGAGTCCAGTGAGGAGTGCAATGGGATCAGCGGTGCTCTGTCAGTGGAGTCTGTGCCGGGGCCAAGACTAAACCGGTGTCCCGCTAACGCCCCTGCTCCAGCCTCTGCACCTACCCAGGGGCACCCGCTCACAGCCAGCCCTGTCAGGATCAGGATGGGGGACGGCGTGGACACTGCAGCACAGATGTCAGGGGGCAACAGCAGCAGCCATGGTCCAGCCGGGGGACCTGGCAACCCCTCGCCCCCTGAGTACATCAACCTGACCCGACCCAAACGCCAGACCAATCAGCTGCAGTTTCTCCTCAAAGTGGTGGTGAAGGCTCTGTGGAAACACCAGTTTGCATGGCCTTTTCACGCCCCTGTGGATGCCATCAAATTGAATCTGCCTGTGAGTAATGCATTGTGGGTAGTTAATATAAGATAGTAAGCTCCAGAGAGATGGTCTGCTTTGATTGGTCAATTGAAGTGATGAAGTTTAGGAATAGGATTATAATTTATGTTTGGAAACGTTAACATTGTGGTTAAGATTAGGGTCAGCAAAATGGGTGGGTAACTAGAATAACTTTAAAAAGGTAATTAGTCACCTAATTGCCTTATTCCATTTTGCACAATAAAAATAAAACTTAAAATTGCCAAAAATAACAGTTTAGGCCTGGTCATAGTAACAGACGTACCATTACCGTGGCAACCAGAGCTACGTCATCACTTTGTCTCTCCAGAGCAGGCTCTCTAGTATGTGGATCTTTATTAATGAGGTTTTTGAAATGGTTTTGTTTCAATTGTGAATTTCTTCTACCCTTTAGGACTACTATACAATAATTAAAACCCCTATGGACATGGGCACAATAAAGAAAAGGCTTGAGAACAGTTACTACTGGAATGCCCAAGAATGTATCCAAGACTTCAACACCATGTTTACTAATTGCTACATCTACAACAAGGTAATATTCACATAATCTACAGTTAATTGCCAGGCAAAGGTTCAATAGATCTGATTTTCATCTCCTTGCAGCCTGGTGATGATATTGTCCTCATGGCTGAGGCTTTAGAAAAGGTTTTCCTACAAAAAGTCACAGAAATGCCTCAAGAAGAAATTGAGATTGCTGTTATGACTGGAAAAGGACGCGGTAGAGGACGTAAAGATGCAGGTTGGTTTAACTTCATTATAAAACATAAAGTGCATGCTGTTATTGTAACAGATGAAACAATCATTTTGTGTGCTTTTGTGTGTATCAGGTTTGAGCCTTAAACCAGGGGCCATCATCGATCCCTTATCTACAACTCCTACCACGCGGGGCCTGTCCAACCTGTCAGCCACACCACAGAGCAGAGGACCCGCACAGGGCACGCCTTCACTACCTCCTCAGCCTGTAATGCAGGCCCTGCCTCCCCATGTGGCTCCCCATGTTGCACCTCATGTGCCCCCCCATGTGCCCCCCCATGTGCCCTCCCATCTGCCCCCCCATGTGCCCCCTACGATACCCAACCACGCACCCCAGCTTGGAGCTCCTTTTTCTTTAACTCAGCCAGAATGCCCCTCCCAAGTTCCCATCATGACTTCAGTGCCTCCTGCCCAGACCGCCCTGGCTCCCACACCCCTCCAAAGCACTGCCCCTATGCTGCAAAACCCCATGACCATGAACAAAGTAAGTGACAGCATTGTGTGTTTAAAACATAGGGGGCATGAGTTTCCATATTATTTCAAATATAGTAATACACTATTCTATTTATGAATGTTTCAGCAAAGAAAAAGCCAGAAGAGGAAAGCAGACACTACAACACCCACAGCGAATGACCAACTGAGTGAATCCTCACCGGCAGAGTCCAAGTCGGGCAAAACCTTCCCCCGGCGAGAGAGCACCCGGCCTTCAAAACTAATGAAAAAGGAGGCTCCGGATTCTCAGCATCACATCGGCCTGGGACCAAGTGGAGGTCTCAGTCCTAAACCACAGGATCAAATGGGATACTGTGCCAGCCTGGTTCGAGAGATGCTCTCCAAGAAGCATGCCGCTTACGCTTGGCCATTTTACAAACCTGTTGATGTAGATGCACTTGGACTACATGATTATCATGACATAATTAAACATCCAATGGACCTCAGCACCATCAAAGTGTGTTAGATGTCATTGTTTGATATGCTGCTCAGCAGTATTTCAAGGTAACCTGTGTTATTTGTTTGTCAGGCAAAACTGGAGAACAGGCAATATCGGGATCCCCAAGAATATGCTGCAGATGTACGATTAATGTTTTCCAACTGCTACAAGTACAATCCACCTGACCATGAGGTGGTTGCTATGGCACGTAAATTACAGGTAAATTGGTTTAGTGTGAATTCAGTACTTTTAGAAAATTCCACTTGACACTCAGTGACACTAACTTATTGTGACCTAAAATATTTGATAGGATGTTTTTGAGATGCGTTTTGCAAAAATGCCAGATGAGCCTGAGAACAAGCCTCTGGTCTCTGCTCCGGCCACATCCCTCCTCCACCCGGCCCCCGTCAAACCACAGCCGCCTCTGAGCCATGCTCCATCCTCATCAGACAGTTCCAGTGACTCCTCGTCAGAGTCTGAGTCGTCTACAGACGACTCTGAGGAGGAACGCGCCCAGAGGCTAGCTGAACTTCAAGAACAGGTATGTTTTATAATAATAAACAACCCAATAATTTTTATGCTCAAATAACATCAAATGTCTTCACACAGCTGAAAGCTGTTCACGAGCAACTGGCCGCCTTATCCCAACCTCAAGCCAGCAAACCAAAGAAAAAAGAAAAAGAGAAGAAGGAGAAGAAAAAGGAAAAGCATAAGAAGAAAGGAAGTGTGCCCAGTCTGGTTGACGAAATACAGGAAGCAACTCCAGTGCCACAGCTCCCCAAGAGGAACAAGACCAGTAGTACAAACAATAAAGAGCAGAGTTCTAAGAAGAAAAGGTAGATTTTAAGTCTAGTTTTTGTATTCTTAACGGTGTGAATGACAATGATCACTAAAAAATGCTTTCTTTATTTTTCCTTTAGCAAAAAGGAGTGGGTAAAAGGCAGCCACCCCCCAGTTCTGCCTCCTGCCCCATCTTTGGAGGAAGAGCTTGCAGCTGCTGGGGGTGCTGTTTCTGGGGAAAAGTGTAAGCCTATGACTTATGAGGAGAAGAGGCAACTAAGTTTGGACATTAACAAGCTTCCAGGTGACAAACTTGGAAGAGTAGTGCATATCATTCAATCCAGAGAACCCTCGCTCAAAAACTCAAACCCAGATGAGATTGAAATAGACTTTGAAACGCTCAAACCTTCTACTCTACGGGAGCTAGAAAGATATGTGTCGTCTTGTCTACGGAAAAAGAAGAAGGCCCCTGGTGAGCTTTTCTAACTCATTCACTGGAACTTTATTCATAAAAAACTATGAATAAAACATTTTTTTTTTTAGCAGAGAAACCTCTGGAGGCAATGTCTAAAAAGACTGGATCCTCTTCAGAAAGTAGTGGCTCAAGCTCTGACAGTGAGAGCGAGGGGCCTGGTAAGTTACAAAAAATACAGTTTGCACATCCATGTTTTAATTATTATCATTTATATTATTATCATTATTACTATTTTAGGAATGATGAAACAGACAAAAAAGAAGGGTCATTATGGGAAGGAAGCTAAGAAAACACATCCTCACATTCAGCCTGGCCTCCAGCCTCAGCCCAACAGTCAGATAAAGGAGCATCAGCCTTCTCCTGCTGGGTTCATGGCACCCCCTGTAGCTGCTCTGGAGTCATCGCAGATGTTGGAGACCAGTTTTGACTCTTTGCCCTCTTTTGGCCAGCCTCTCATGCATCTGTCTCATCATACGAGCAACACGTCGTCTCCCCCACCTCCCCACCTTAATGCTCACTCTGCTGCTCCAGTGTCCCCAGAGACACACCCTTTCCTCAATCAGCATCCCGTCCTACAATCCCCAGGTACTTCACTGAAAACTACATTTAGTTTTAAGAGAGAGAGAGAGATCTGATGAAAAATAAAGTTTTGCGGCAGCAAATTGTTGCAGTTTTGCTGCATCATTTACACTGCGTGTCTCAGTCAAAGGTCTCAGTGCAGTTTAACAGGAGGACTGGTCAGATAGGGTCTGCAGATCCTGTAGAAGAGCCAGAAGTGTCCTGTGTGTCCTGTATCCTGGGCATCACAGCAGTGTCCAGGGGGAGCCAGGTGAACACAACCGGTCTGCTTTGGTGTTTTGGTTGGTAATGAAATGGTCCATTCCCTCAAAGTGATTTCTCTGGAAGATCTTCTGCCACAGTTGCTGCCACATATGGTGTAAAAATACTATAGCATCACAATGCCAATAGCTAGCTAGTTTCCTTCCACAGTCTCTGTGGATATAAGAAAAACAGTTTATTTCAAACAATCCAGCAGCCCCTTGTGTTCATTCCCTCAAAGTATTTTCTCTTAAGGTCTTTTGCCACATTTGGTATAAAAAAAAAAACTTGTATCTGGATCTAGCATCCAAAATGTCTATAGCTAGCTCCTTAGTTAGCCTCTTATACGGTCTCCATTGATACAGGAAAAACAAATGGTTCATTTCACAAAATCCAGCAGTCCCTTACGTGTGTCCTTTCAACCTGTCAGCCAAACATGAGCAATTTGTGAATACATTGTGCTCTACGGGGGAAAAAAGCTTCAGTCTCCCCCAGGGCAGCTTTGGCTACAAAAGTACCACTGGGTGAGGGGAGTTCTTGTTCATCATTATAAAGTATACAGTATATATTGAATAAAAAAAACATAAACATTGTTTTGACCTGTGCATTTTTCTGCTCTTTTCCAACTGTAGCCTTGCACAGTTCTATGCCTCAACAGCCTTCACGACCGAGCCACAAGGCAGCACCTCTTCATCCCAAACTGCCCCAACAACAACAACCACCACCACCGCCACCACAGCAACCCCAGCTGCCCACAGCCGCTCCCCCGCCACAGCACCAGCTCCCCGCACAGATCCTCCACCCTTCTCAGCCCCTGCACCAACGCCCTCTGTCCCCTCCCACACTCACCCCTCAGGGCATGCTTTCGTCGCAGCCCCCACAGTTGCTGCTAGCGGACGATGAGGAGACCCCCACCTCTTTGAACCCTGTACAGTTGTACCTACAGCAGTTTCAGCAGGCCCACCAGACCCCACAGATGCCCCCTCTCCAGGGGCAGAGGCAGTCACAGCCAGGGCATTTACAGACTGTCCCAGGGCAGCTGTCGTCTCAAGCACCACTGCCTCCTCCACAGCTCCCTCCTCCACAGCTTCCTCCTCCACAGCTAGCTGTTCAGTCCCAGACTCCACAAGCGGCCCCACTACAGCCCCCCATGCAACAAATGCCCCATCACCCGCCCCGCCACATGCAGCACACCCAACCCCCGCAACAACCATCACAACCGCAGCAACTGAACTTTCAACAGACACCTGGACTAGCAGGTCAGTCCCAAGGAACACAACACAAAGTATCCATGCCCATCAACAAAGCACAGCAAGTAATTCAGCAGCAAGAGCAGCCCTCGTCGCGGACAGTGAAGCCGGACCCTTACAACACAGGTAGAAAAATGATGCACATACTCTTAGCTCTGTGTGTCTGCTGTTACATTTCTGTATAATCTGATCTCATGTACTGACAGGTAACATGAGGGACAACCCATCTCCACTCATGATGCATTCCCCACAAGTCCCCCAATATCCTCCAGTCTCTCACCCGTCCCCTCCTCACAACATCCAGTCTAAAAAGGTAATCCACCTCTGAAATGGTGTCTTTTTTCATACCAATTCCAATGTGTAAATGTTTGTATTTATATATAATATATTGTATTTTTGGTATATATTAGCAAAGAATACCACAAGACATTGTGAAAGAGGAAAAACTCCCTCCATCCCCAGTGATGAGAGGAGAGCCTTTTAACTCTGCCATGAGACCGGACCACCCCAAACATGAAGGCAAACCCACTCAACAAGGCCACAGTCACCAGAGGATAGACTCAAAGTCTATGGACAGCACGTCGCGACCTGTCATCCGTTCGTCTGAGCCCAGTGGGCCTCCACCCTCAAATCCAGACAAGGAAAAGTACAAGCAAGAGTCCAAGGCAGCAGTGGCGCCCAAAAAAGTCCAGGTTTGGTTATAATTCACATTGCACACTGCCTGTATGGCGGTTTCACCATTCTCCATTAGTTCAATAATGTTTTGTTTTTTTTGTAATTTTTTCCATTTCCTATCTCATCCAGGATGTGAAAGTAAAAAATATGGGCTCATGGGCCAGTCTGGCACAAAAGTCAGCATCCACGCCAATGTCTGCTGTGAAGTCATCCAGTGACAGTTTTGAGCAGTTCCGTCGCGCTGCTCGAGAAAAAGAGGAAAGGGAAAAGGCTCTGAAAGCTCAGGCAGAACAAGCCGAAAAAGACAGACTACGGAGAGAACAAGACAAGCTACGGTAGGTCACTTGAAAAGGGCTCCATCAAGAACTGCTTTTCCTCTTATTAATTTAGCACAATGTTAACACACACAAAGTTACAAATTATATCTTCCTTTTTAAAATGCCCTAGATATATTTCATGGTAATTCTTTTTATATTTCATAAATTCCACATCCTTACCCCAACTATATCCTGTTGTTCTGTTGCATAATGGTTTTTGGCTGTGTTTATTCCTCCAGAGGTCGAGATGAGGATGAGGTGATAGAAACAAGTCGACGGGTTCACGAGGAGCCCCGCAGACGACACGAGCCACAGCACCTGCCCTCTGTGCCCCAACCATCACCGCAGCAACAATCGGACCCCCCTGCCGCCCCGGTGCAGCCACCCGCACAGCCCCCCACACCACCTCAGTCCACCACACAAAACTCACTCGACCAACAGAGAGAAATGGCACGAAGGCGGGAGCAGGAGAGGAGGAGGCGAGAAGCGGTGAGATAAACTGTTTTGATTGTATGTGAACAATGTAACCTATATTGTTGCTTTGCTGGGAATGTTCCACTGTATGGCATTAAAATATCCATCTTGTATTTATTTGATATACTGATGTTTTGGCAATATTATATGTGTTGAGCGGGGTTGCATAACCTGTAAATTGTTCTGGATGTATCACTGGTGATATAACCCTTTGTCTCTTTGGAGAAAAATAAGTTTAATGTCATATTGGGGAACATTGCAGGCAAAGCAATAACCTCTCATCTCCTCCGGAAAAGTTACTTAGTGCACTTTTAACTGGTATCATTTATGTATTTTTTCTAGAAAGACAAATAATACTTTTATATAATATTTTTTGTCTCTCTTTTGTTTTTAGATGGCAGCAACTATTGACATGAATTTCCAAAGTGACTTAATGGCTATTTTTGAGGAGAACCTGTTCTGAGGAGATGGTAAACATACCTGCAAAAATCAGAGACTAAAACCCGATGATGTACACTTCTAAAGATTAGCCATCATGGACCAGAGGAGCTTGGACCGCTCTAAGCCTGGCGGGCCGTCGGTTGGGCTCCACAGCTTGCCCTTAGCGAACTGAACGCATTCAAATGAAAGGCGGACAGACACATCTTTTTGGATGTGGTTGGCCTGAAATTATGGCTTCACTTGTTTGAAAGCTCCTGAACTGAGGCGACCCATGCTGGCACAGTTGCCTTTGTCACACTTTGTCTTGGCCAGACGAGAGACACCATAGTAACTTAATAAATGCTCTGATAATGTACGACAGACTGCGCAGAAGCTTTTCAAAACTGCCAGATGTCTTTGGTGTTGAAGAAGACCGGTCTTTTATGTTGTGTTTTGTTTGTTGCAAGTGAACACATCTGATGGTTTGGAGGGACTTCCATACTGTAAATCATGTATATTTCTCAGCAGAGAAGGTACAATTTGCCTTACACGTTTTTCCTAAACAGACCATTATGTTCTGTGGCCTGGATGCAGACCAATAACACACAACAACCAGGAGCAGCGTAGATCTTTTTCATCATTTAGTATCTACTGTAAAGAAGTATTTTCTTATACTACAAAAACTGTTATTTTCAATATTTTATTTCCTCTCTATTAGACCTATGAAACTTCACACCAATACACTCCACCACCTATGTCTATGCCAAACGACCCATACTCTTAACGCTCACCTTTTTGTCCTGAAACACGGTAGGTAAGTAGGTAGTGAAAATCCTTGAATATATGCATATAATAGTTCCAGTATTTATCACAAACAGAATTGGGGGGAAAATATCAACCTGCATTGTGTTTTTATGGAAAAAAAATCAAACAGCAACTAAATTGCAAAATAACAGTGATCCAGCTCCCCTTGGTTTAGTTGAATTATTGATAACTACAAAGTTATTTATATTATTTTTAGGCATCATATTGGGAATTCTCAAATATCATGAACCTACTTTAAAAATCACCAATCGGTTAGTTAAAACAGAACAATGTCAGGAATGCTTGAAATGGGACAATCATAGAAAAGTCCTAAGTAAATCAGGATTGTTTTAAAGAGGTTGTCTTTACCAAGTTTAACAGTAAAATACAGAGAGTAAAACACAAAATACGATAAATAACGTTTTGATTTTATCTTTGTTCTTGTTCAATGATAGTGGATGTGAATTAAAATTCAGTTTTGCGAGGCACTGTATGCTTCAATTTGAAAAACAGGCGATCTCATCCTCTGCTCTTCTCATGGTGTTTTCTCTGGTGCCTGTATTGTATTACAATTCTCGTTGGCTTACATTACACTTCGAGGGAGGGTCGGAAAGGGTCAGAACTGGGTGGTGTAATATGTGATTGGGGCCGACGATTTTTTGAAAGCGTTTGTGTAGAAAAAAAAGAATTAAAAAGTAAAAGACAGCATTTTATATTTCACCCGTTGTCACTATTCGGGTTTTAAATTTAGTTTTAGCTGGACATCTATGAGTGTACACTTGTCAACTACTTTCATTATGTTTCAATCAGCAGATTTTAGATAGAAAAGTTTCAGCGTTGCCACTCGCGTTCTTGTCTGCTCTGTCAGTGTGACTGTGTACATTTGGATGCCTGTTTGCCTGTATGTTTTTAATGTGTGGTGGAGGGAGGCATGTTCCCTAATGTAGATAAGCAACTATTGACCATAAGATTAAACGGATAAACCTTAGAAGAACACGTTTCTTCAGTCACCTTTTAATTTCTATAAAGTCCACATTATATAAATATATAATTTTTATTATTATCAGACTGGTTTTGAATAGGTTAAAACACTTCATTCCTTTTAACCGTCTTTTGACAATAACTGTTGGACATATGTGCCATGGTTTCTTCAGAGAATGTGCTGACCGCAGTTCAGCCTGGAGTTTGCTTTATTCAGGTATTTTATTTTGTGTTACATTTGTTCTGTTTTGGGGTTTTGTTCAAACATTTCCTCAATTATTTGGTATGTGAGTGGTCTTTCGAGGTCTGATTCAGTCAGTTATGATTATTGAATAAACTCATCTCTTTTATAGAAAATTAAAAAAAATAAACTAAAAAAATGTATTTTGTCTTTGTGTGGGAGGCTTTAAGTTTTAAAGGGATTTATTAACTGCAAAACCTTGGTACATACAGGGTGGTGTACAGGTTTGTGCTGCTAAAATTAAGTTACAGACCTGTACTTCAGGGCTTTAGGATAAAAACTTCAAACTGGACACATTCACGCTAGTGATCAGAGCATACCTGAAGATTACTTTTATACTGGATTACTGATTACTCTTATTTAGAAAGTCGAGAGTTTACTGGTTCTTTCACTGAAATATTCTTCCCAAAGGCAGCATTTTAGTCTTGCAGATTTGAATACATACTGACATAATGACTCTTTGTCGCCACCCAGAGGATAATTTTTAAAGGCACAAGAGACTCATTTTGTAAAGAGCTGCAGAGTTGAAGAGAGGTAACAAACTCTCACATAGACGTAACAAAATAATCCTCCTTTCTGATATTTCATTTTCTAACCAATTTCGAAACGTCAGCAGGTGTTGTCCATTACACCAGCACCTTTTCTCAATCTTACTAACATTTTTCCTCATCGTTTTTTAATGTTCTAATACACATGTAGGCCAGTCTAATCTAATGAATGTCTGTGTGTAGGTGCCTATCGTAGGGCTACTTAGAATGCCAGACGCCTTGAAATGAACAAATAAATAAATAGCTACATGATAGTAAAACCCGCAGGCTCTGAATTTTCCGTTTCCTACATTTCCGTGTGCACCTGGAGGCGGCCTGTGCTCAGCGCTGTGAATCACACGGGCGGCGTCAGCTCGACACCATCGAGCCTAAGTGAAAAGTTACAGGTGAAGTGTCTCCAGTTTGTGTTGTGTGGAGCTGCGCTGATTTTCACCGCGAGCCCAATGGATGGAGCAGGACTCCAAAACCTGAACAGAACTCCAAAACCTGGTAATCTTTCTTAAAAAAATAATTTTGACCATTAATGAGATGAACGAAAGTAGTCAGCTAAGTGCAACTGTCTGTGAAATAGAAATAGAAAGTGGCCAGTACCACATTAAATAACCATTAGCACGTGGAAGTGTGTGTGTAGTTAGAAAGAATAAATTTAGAATTTACCTGGGTATGGTTGTATAGGGTAAGCCCCTGTAGTTGTCACATAGGCATAGACTAGACGACACTTTTAAGATGTGTTCTTAAGAAATAGAAAATACGTGCTTCGGATACTGCACTGCTGCTTATGAATAGCCTATATCATTGATTGATTTGATTTGATTGATAGATATGCTTTTCATTTGTGTAGGTCAGTTGATGTCTGGTTTACACTGACCTGTCAAATGTCAACACCCACATTCCTTCAGAGTTGGTGAGTCTGTTTTGTTTAGGTCCATTACATAACTACATAATTAGACTATGCTTATTATTAGTCTCATTAAATGAAGACACCATGGCTTTTTCTAAATACCTGCTTATTGTGTGTTACAAGTTATGGCCTCAGAGATGATGTGGCCTACCTGCAACAACAGCCACAATGTGACCTTTTTCTACAACTGGGTGGGGAAAAAGATCAACACAGAATGGACCACCCGAGATGCTGTGGTTATTGGACTTGGGCTTACAGTTTGTCTCGTAGTTGTCCTGGCCAACCTCATGGTCATGATAGCCATCTTCAAGAACCACCGCTTCCACTTTCCCATTTACTACCTCCTGAGCAACATGGCAGCTGCTGACTTGTTTGCTGGTGTGGCTTATATCAATCTTATGCTGAACACTGGCCCTTGGACCAGCACACTCACAAAAGAGCAGTGGTACATACGAGGAGCTTTGATTGATATTAGTCTCACTGCCTCCGTCGCAAACCTTTTGGCTGTAGCCGTAGAGCGCCATCAAACCATCATGACCATGCAGCAGCACAGTAAAATGACCAAGCGCCGTGTGTCACTGCTTATAGTGTGTATCTGGGTGGTTAGCATCCTCATGGGGCTGATTCCATCCACGTTTTGGAACTGTGAGTGTGACCTGAATGACTGCTCCACTGTGGCACCTCTTTACAGTCGCAGGTTTCTTGTTTTCTGGGCAGCTCTGAACCTGCTCACATTCTTTATTATGGTGGCGATGTACACTCGTATCTTCTGTTATGTCAGATACCAAAGCAGATACTCATCAGGCCACACCAGCAACCAGACTGTTGACAACCTGATGAAGACTATTTTCATGGTTCTAGGTAAGATTTCCTCTCAACAATAGTCACTGAAGTGTAGTGTGAGCAGACATAATAGTCAACTGTTAAAGAAGCTCCTTTAATCTCCCCAACTGCGTGTCAAATTATTCTTGTTGTTTCATTGCTGCTGTTCATTCTGGTACAATACTGTGACCTCCCACTCCCTCTACAAACCAGTTTTTCTGCATATGTCTTGTTTATCAACTTGTTCGAAAGATGCACCATGGTTTTGTTATATCAGATTCCTGTTAAAACTAACTACAAGCTGAGTAAAACAACTACGGAGTGCTAAAAAAAATAAAGATAATACATAACATTTATAGTGGAGGTTCTGGCTCTTGCTTGTCTTCATGGATCATGGATGTGATCGCCTAGATCTTCCAAAGTATGGCATTTTATTTATCTGTTTCCATGTAAACAAGCATGCGGAATAAGGAGGCAAAGTTACAAGGGCAGAGGTGACCACGCACACAGTAAGAATTTACAAGGTATTTTTGAGTTATAAAAACACCTGTAATTACTGAACGCAATAATGGAATTCCATGAAACATTCCAGATAAAGCAATTAAAATCTCCAAGGTGTTCAGAAAAATTACATAATGCATCCTTCATTTTAAGTTATTTACACCATTAACTGGCTATGATCAGTGCACAAAGCTATCCACCATGTAAATTTAAAGTTTATGTTTGCACAGGTGCTTTCGTGATCTGTTGGACTCCTGGACTGGTGACCCTGCTGCTGGACGGGCTGCTGGGAAAAGCCAGTCACGCCAATGCCTTTGAGAAGTTCTGCCTGGTGATAGCAGAGTGCAACTCTTTGGTCAATCCAATCATATATTCTCTACGGGACAATGAGATGAGGAGCACTTTTAAATCAATCTTGTGCTGTCTGTGTCGTGGATGTCCTGGCCAGCAGAGGGCGCGCTCTCCGATTGCGATAGACCCGCCGTTTCCTGAGGTATAATGCGAAAATAGCGTGTGAAACATGCACTTGACATTGATCCACTTCATTGTATCGCTTCCAGTTTTGATTTCTGATATTTCCTGTCACTGAATCTTACAGTTTTTATTTTCACAATATAACAACTGTGAAAGTGCCTATGCATTTTATAAAATATGTAATTAACTGTTTAAGCTTTAGTTAGAGTGACCATCTGTCCCTCTAATGATTATCTGCACAGCCATGACTCTTGTCCCCTGCCCCACTTATTAATCACTACATGAATTATACAAAGTGAGATTTACACTTTTTTAATGGCGTTATTGCAGTTATAAACTATGAGCCTGGTCCATTCCTCCACATCCCATAACATTATTTGAAGTGGTCACCCTAGTTAAAAGATAAATAAATAGGACTTTCTTGAAACATGGCCAAAACACTTATTATATATAATTTTAAATAAAATCAGTATTATAATAATACATACATATTTCAATACTCTATTCTATGAACACATTCAAGAACACAAGAGCCCTTCATATGCCAAAGTTTACGTTTAGCTCCTTTCTCTCTCTGCAGGAAACTCTTGACTGTCTGCACAAGCCAGAAGAAGCCCATGGTTCACCTCGAAATATAAATAGAATATTTGAACACGCCTGAGGCCCCACAACTAAAGCAACATTGTTGTCTGATGTCGATGAAAACTAATGTGTTTGGAATTGTACAATTACTGAATGAACATGTCTGATGGATCAAGTCATTACATTATAGTGAGTTTTGTAAGACATTATTCATCAAGTGGTGCAGTGTCTCCTTTTATTACATTTGACTATCACAAGAGCATTTGTGACAACTTATAAAACACTCCTAAATTTTGAACTCAAATACTGAAAAACACACTAAATCATTTATTAATTTTCTAATAAGAACACTACAATTTGTCATATTCTTCCTTTTGTTTTACTCTTTCTAGAACAATTCTAAAGTTGAGGTATAAAAGGAGTTCGTACAGACGCGCAGGTCTGAAAAAAGTGGGGTTATATACAAGAAAAATGACTGACAGAGGTAGACAGAGGGATAAATACAGGGAAAAGAGGAAGTTACAAAGATACTAAACAAAAATCAAAAGGTTTAACAACACTTTGGTGCTATGGAAAAGCCAGATCACTGTTGGAAAGTCTGTTTGCATAAAAATCTATATGCTACATTGACGCTTGTTCTGCCTTAAGTGACAATGGTAATTACAAAGTTTTATTGTAAAAACAGAAGGTTGCCACTTTAAAAGGTATTAAACAATGTCGGACCACTTTTTAATGAAAAGTGAAACATTGGTTCATTTTTCCACAGCATCAAATGTTGCACAATAAACCCCACTTTGCACCCAGTTATGTAACAAAATACCTAAATAAAATGATAGTTATTGTGAGTGTTACACGAAGCCAAATAAAACTGGCATTTTAATAAAACAAAACAAAAAAAAAAACATTTAGAAAATAAAAAATACTGAAACCTTACACAAACTGTACAGTGACATCCATTATAACAGGTAGAAAAGGGGGAGCATAATTTGGTGTGATGATGAGATTATAAGATACAGTCAAACAAACTGCACTGAAGAAAACATGATGGAAATCACATGACACCTCCTCAAGATTTGCTCTGTAACACAAAATCTCAAGTGAAATTTCCATAAGGCTTTACCTTAACTATCAAAATGTGTTTTTATTATTCACATAACAATGTATAAAATAGTTCCAAAGAATTAAAGTCCCTCTGAAAAGTTGCAGGTTTGTCTTAAACATGAGTTAGAACTACACCCCAGCACTGCCTCTTTTTGGTAATAGAGGAGAGAGAGAGAAGCCCTTTCCCATCGGCCATTCAACTAAAAACTTTATTTTTCCCCATAATAGTGTATTGAAAAAGAGGGCAACACAAATCCTTTTATGGAGTAGGTGCTCCACTGACAATCAAATGACATAATATGTGATATAATAGCACTGCTCCACCCAAAAAAAGTCCCCCCAAAAAAAAACAAAAAAAAAAAACCCTCTCAGTTTGAGTCATGACAACGGCACACAGAAAGACGATACAAATATAAGTCCCCCTCTCCTCAAACTGAAAAGGTGGCATTATTACATTGCTGAACGTGGTATTTTTGGTTTACAACAGAAGGTTGTAGTGTGTTGTGGTTCAAATGGGAGGGACACTGAAGCTGAGCCCCACCCACTTTGCCATTGGAAGGAAGCACCCAGTGTTTTTAATGCTTACAAAGATCAGAGGGCGCCCCCAGGTGGACAATGACATCCCAACACTGTACACATGCCCACAGAGACACACATCGTAGCTATACATGGTTTTTCCTTTTTGGTCTGACTGTAATAATTATACCCTTTTATTTTTTATTAATAAAAATGAAGCTAAAAACGTAATGAAAAACAATATCACGTCTAGAAGTCCTACATGCATGGAAGACTGTCACTTTCTAAGTTCATGTCACATTTGTTCCAACAACACATCAGTGCCCCACAATCTCCTCCTGTACTCCTCTCCTCACATCACAGAGATGCTATATTGAGCTCATTTTTGGTGGTGGCTGGTGCATTCTTGGTGAAACAGCATTAGAAAATAGCCTACAATCAAATAAACTAGTGGACAGAAAGCAAGAAGTCTAAGAGCCATCTACCAACACCCTCTATTGGTTAGCAAAGAATAGCACTATGTAGTTATTACATCCACTCCGCCTGTCTGCCTGATCCTCATCCCTCCAGTTTGGTTATTATTATTTTTCCTGCTATATATTGAACCATGATCCCCTTCACTACCCTTTATACTAGAAGACGCACATTACAAGGATGCTAACGTTTGTGCTTGACAGAATCTTAGCTCACTTCTAAAACCATTTCAAAATATCTGTGTTTATGTGGAAAGCTGATAACATATTAGAAAGGTACAGCAGTGTCTTGTGTTGAGATGGCAGAGGAACAGATGCGGTGACAACTACCGGGGTAGCACTTTGGTACGAGCAAGGTGAGCACAGCAGCGCCCCCTGGTGGGCTGTATCAAGAGTTTGGCTGTCACATAACCAATGTTTGAAGTGATACAGGCAATCGCACAGTTTTCCAAAGCAAAAAGTCCTGTGGAGTAGATCTATGTTCAAAGGTATCGTGCACATACGGGTGATGTAAAGACGTCTGGGTGTCGGAGATTTCCAAAAAAGTCCTTGAAAGAAATGTTGCTTCAGCATCAGTTTGCTCCATACCACACTGCATTGAGTGTCACATGTGTTAGCACCACAATCCTTTGCTGACTATTATATCGCTGTCCAGTCTTTGTATGTTGTTGAACACAGTTGAACTTGGAGATTTCAGGTGTAGTAAGTGAAGGTGGCGAGTCAAGCAGACCACAGTTGGAATGGAAAGATGGCGGACAGAGCCAGAGTCAGTTGGACGTGTCTGAGTGGTCGCTGCTGGGAGGACCGGGAGGGGAGGTGATGGAGGAAGTATTGGTGGTGTCCTGCCAGCTGTTAGCCTACACACACAAACCAAACAACAAATGTGAAACTATATCAACTACATATACTGCTACACTAGAGAAACAGGCAAGTCAACATTTCAAACTTCAAAACATCTCTAACTTCAAAAAGAACAGCCAAATATTTATATAAAAATAAGGTTTGCTACAAGTAAGAATCTTATTGAGAGACAGAGATATATTTTGGCACAGAGTTCCCCACATTAACAACGATAATACTAAATTTAGGCTAAAAATTCAGGCAAAATATGCGCATAAATCATCCTAACTTACATCCAGGCGATGAGGGGTATAGAGGGCACTTCCTGACAGCTCCTCATAACCGGCCGTCAGGTGTGTAGCAGGGTGCAGGGTATCCACCTGTCAAGAGATAAAATGCTTCATGAGATCAATACATTAATCTCTTATGTAATTTTGATTCCAGAAGAAGATGACAACAGTGTGGTTTTATTTATTTGTTTTTTTATGCACAAAAACAACTACTTTATTTTCTGTTGGTCTACTATAAAGGAATATGAAGGGATCATTTCCGGCAAAAAAAAGACAAATAATAGTTGTCAGGACACAAGGGAATTTTGGATATCAGGTGTTTTTGCTTTGTACTGAAAAATACAACAGACAGGACAAGTGCACTAAAATAGGGAAGGTCTGCAGGGCTCGAGGGGTCAGCTCTAAAAACAGTCCGGATGAAAAGTTCATGGGGTCAAAAGGGGCTGGAACTAGAGTTCTACAGGTGGGTATTTGGGACTCTGGGTGGCTTGGGTTAAAGGCATTGAGGTCAACTGTGCAGCTGTCCTCAGTGCATACTTGCGGCTGTAGAGAGGGGGCGATGTTGAGGGCCTCCCCATTGAGGGAACGCAGGCTGAGATAGGTGTCCCCTGAGTGGGACAAAGTGAACGACCCCGGTGACCCTGTGGGCAATATATAGCAAACAAGCAATCAGCTGCAGCACCAGGCAGAGGGTCCGACCACAACTAACCTGGGGTCTCGGACTGGCGTTTTTGGACAAAATACCAACGAAAATGTGGGTCGAGCATTGAGTAGCGAGTTTAAAAATGCTTTACAGTCTTGTCATAGAGAGATACTACTTTGTACTGAAACATACAGTAAAAAGTGCCAAAAATGGTTGTTATTCACAGGTGACAAATCTTGAATTTATGGCTGTGGTGCGCTTGTCTGCCATTGTCTGCCCATAATCGTGTCAGGGTACACTGGGCAGAACTGTCTGGCTGCAGAGGACATGAGGTTGCCCTTGTTGAAAGAATAAAAAGAAAGAACAACCAAGGACAAGATCTTCGGCACATTTGTGGTATTTGTTAATTGGTTTGGTAATAAAACTACACACGTACATCTCAGTGACTTGCCTGAGTGACTGAACACTTACAATAAAGCATCCACACACTGACCTGAGTTGGGTGTTGCAGGAGAGTTTGCCTGGCTGGCTTGTGCCGACACATTGGCAGCATCTACTGCTGTTTTAACTGCGTAAAGGTTTGCCTCCTCCTGGAATTTACCAATATTCTTCTTATAGCGTATTCTCTTGTTGCCAAACCAATTAGAGACCTGTGGAGCAAATATATGTCAGAAAGTCAATGCTGACTCTGATTAACATGCATCCATCACCATCTTTGCATATTTAGTTTGGCTTGTAGCAGTTTTATTGTGGTTTGGGGGTTTCAAATTGTTTCAACTGGAACAATACACATTTGTGATCATTACATAACTGCAATAGAGTGAAGTATTTGATGTATTTGTAGTTCACCTGAGACACAGTGATTCCACACTTTTTGGCCAGTTCCTCCTTAGCCTCCTCGCTGGGGTAAGGATTGGACAGGTGAGAGTAGAAATACTCGTTCAGCACCTCTGTGGCTTGTTTGTTAAAGTTGCGCCGCTTACGCCTGACACAGACAGAAGAGATAATAAGCAACACGCATCAAATACTTCAGTCTGACATGTCCATGTCCCAGAGGACTTGATTCCTTCAGTTAGTCATTTATATAATGTGTTTCAGACCTGGCGTCAAGGAAGCGAGAGCGCAGGATCATGACGGCTTCACAGGTGCTCTGTTTGAGCTGCATCTGGATGGAGCTGAACTTGCGGTGGATGATGGCCACCATTCGCTCGATTTCCTTTGGAGAGATGGGTCGTGTGCGAGACTGCTCCCTCAGCAGGTTCATTACATGGTTGGTGAATTCACTGCATGCCTGCAAAAAGGAAGGCCAGAAAAGATAAAATATCTGCAAATAAAAGTGTAAAGTGTATTACGTTTCCTCTCCATGATCTCCTTCTGCCAGACAGTCTTTTACCTGCTCGTATTTCTCCAGCTCAGAGTGGTAGATCTGGCGGATCTGGGCGAGCTTGGCTCTGTAGTCTGAGTGCTCGATGCTGCTGTCGGTCGGCGAGCCTCCAGCTGCTGCTGCAGCCGCGGCGGCCGCAGCCGAGCCCCCTCCTTTCTCGGGTCCCGACACACCCTCAGCCAAAAGCATGTTGTCCAGCCTCATGATCTGTGGGTCTGGGGGGTCCTCCTCCTGCACGCCTCGTATACTCAGCACTGAAAAATACACAGGAGCGTTAGACCCCCACAGCTGAAGACAGTAGTCAGTAATGGACAGGTGGAGGCTAATGTTGTGGTTTATAATGTGGCCAAGAGAAAAACGCTTTATCACTGACTACATTCAAAGATGTGCTGGCCTGTCAAAGCTGGTCAAGTTGGTCCCCTGAGTCATTGCTTTGAGCGCCTGGCTGAATGCTCAATGAGCCTGAACTTCACCTGTATCACCAGCAGAGGGCACTGTGGCCCCTCTGTGGCAGCCTGCCAAAGATAAGGGCATGAGGCATGGGACCAGTAATGGGAGTGCATGTGCTGTCACTGTGAGCCCCAGTGGCCATAAGTATAGTTATCAGTGGCTGCTCTCCACCACTGTATTATGGCAGAACCTCTGTCAGCCTGCAGCCATGCCCTCATCTCTCTCTCACACTACCCTCACCAAAAACTCCACCGCACAAATAACTGCCTCTAAAGCCAGGGGCTCACTGCTTCATCAATGATGTTTAATATAAATGATTCACATTATGTTGACATAAACATCCCATGTTTACCTTTTATACTCATTCACCGTGATTTGAAACAGTCTTGAGATTGTATTGGATTTGTTATCTCTGTTGCCACACACTTTTTTAAAAAAGAGATTAAAAAACAAACATTAATATGGAATATCTGAAGGAATATTTTTCAAACACTATTGGTGACACTATGTGACTCTGAGCCATCTCTAGTAGCTTAATAAGTTCTTAGATTGACATAATTTAAAATCTTCACATCATTTTGTCATTACGAAATTATTTCAAGGGATAATGCTTTTTTCTATAACTTTAGATGCATGTGTTTGTAGAGAAGAAGTAAATAGTGGGAGCTTTGCAACCAGTCCTCACAACTGACTAACCACACTGTACAGACAACAGATGTGAACAAAATGAGGACAGAACTGTTTCCGAGAACAAAACCGTATTTTTTCCAAGTTTCATTTGATAAATGAGTCTGTTCCACCATTTAAAACCTCTTTTAGCAAAGTGTCCAACTTTCCCTCCACTGCCCCCTCCTATTTTCTTGTTCCTTCTTGCCGTTGGGTTGGCGGTGCTCTGGTCTCCTGTCTGCGAGCACATTCCTGCTCTGCTGCTCCCCCATCTCAGGGCTCAGGAATGCAGCAGACCCAGCCGCCTGAACTAATGACCCTGATTCGCCCATCTCTTTCCCTCCTCTTTTTCTTTGCTTTGGGCCATTCACTTCAGCACTTGGGCAGATAACCTATAACCACTCACTGATTCACTGATCACAGATATCATTTCTCTACCTGTTGAATCTACGGAGAACTCTAACGCACTGGGCGTGTGATCTGCCAGTTGCACAGTAATTAGGCCAATCACTGACAACAGTAACAAAAAACTGAAAAACAAAAAAATACCCATTGTCTATTTCAATAAATCACAACTCTAATCCAAACTTCCAGTCTACTTCTCGTCTAGTAATTTGCAACAGCTCATTTTAGAGGCCCAACATTAGTCTTATGACAGCATTATGTCTCCACTGTGGCACACCATTTACCTGCAATGTCTTTTCCAAGTTTAATACACTCCGCCGCTAACAGTGAAGTGGGCAACAGAGCCTCCTAAAGCTGCTCACCTCTCCCCAGCCCCTCCTCCCTTTTGCCCCCACTGCTCATTATGGCCCCCAGCTGTAGCCTAATGCCCCTACATTCCCCTAATTACTCCAATTAAGCCATGATTACCCACAATTGCACTCATGCACAGTCTAGTGGCCTAGCGGTATTATAGCAGCTGTTAAAATGAGTTAAATAGTACACTGATAATGTTTAGCATCATCTCGGGTCAAAATGAGTCTTTGAGGTAAGCTTCAAATCTATATACAATTAAAAAGTCAGACAAGTATTGCTTACAGACTACCATTTTCTTAAGTAATTTCATAAGATCTATTCAAAAGGTAGATGCACAAATACAGGTGGGTAATTAATTGAATTTAAATGTTGCTTTCTTTTTTACCGACTACAGCCAATCCTCAGTAAAAGCATGTCATTTGGACCAGAAAGCAACATTTTGGGGGTTTTCTGTGTTAAATTGCAATGATTATTGAGTCTTTTTTATCTTGTTTGTGACAAAAAACTAAACTGTATTGAAAATTGAGATCAATAAATACAAGGAACAAAAACGTAAATTGTTTTTTGCCATATTGTCCTGTCCTATCCACAAGTACCTAAACTAATCACTTATATTAACCTTCTTATATTGCAAACTAACACACTAGCACATTAACAATATAAATGTACCTGCCCCAATCTCTAGTGAAGGTTCTAGGATGCTGCAATGTCATCTTAAACCCAGCAAATCTTTGTTTAAACCCAGGAGTCTTATCTTGTATAAGCAGCCATACTAATGTGGATGTAGTCAAACAGCAAAAGGCCGTGCACCTCTTGCTCCATGGCCCGAAGAGAAATCCCACTATTATGCATGTTAGCACCAGCGCTAGGCCGTGTGGCATTGAGAGCCCGAGCGGAGCAACACATACTATGAAATATTCAGGGTATCCAGCTGGGCCTTCACTGCATACATAATCATTCTCATTTCAAGCTGAAATAGTGCGCTACTGGCACAGAGAGACAACACAGAGCAAAAATATGAAGCGGTGCAAGTGAGGGCGAGCCACCTAACCAATAGAGCAGTGCTGTACATTAACTGTAATGCCTTCCGCACATAGGGAGAGATAAGACTTAAACGCAGTCAGTATATCATTGCTCAGCTCATAGCACAAGCTTTATCCTTGTCTGTCTTTTTCGCTCGCTAGCTCGCACCCCCCTCCTTCTCTTTTTTTTCCCTTCTTCTCCTTCCCTCCCCTCTTCGCAGTTGCCCCTTCCCCCCCGATCCCTCTCTCTCTCTCTCTCTCTCTCTCTCCTTTTCGGCGCACCCCCACAGCAGCTACACGGCCGCCACCACTCCTCTGTTCTCCATTTCAGTCGAGTTCTCCATGTGAGCCGCAATTCCTCATGCTGTCAGCCCCCCCTCTTCCTCTCTCTCTGTAGACAGACAGGATTAGCATTTTAATTGCATCAGCTCCCTTGGGTATTCTCAGCCTTTCACTGGGGGAGAGAGAGAGAGGGGAGGGAGAGAGGGAGCGAGAGGGGAGAGGGAAAAAAGGGCGAAAAAGGTAAGGAGAGAAAGAGGGTGGAAGGAGAGCCAAGGAGAATTGGAAAAAAGGAGTCACAAGAGAAGATATGCGAGAGAGAGAGTGAGAGAGGGAGGGAGAGAGAGAGGGGCTACGGGAATATACAGACGTGCCAAACAGAGAAGCAGCCAAACACAGTAAAGATAGCACTATAGAAACATCAGTTTTCCTCTTTCATTACAGATTCAGATAAAAAAGACTGGGCCCAGAAAAAGGACGGTGTTCACAATAAAACATACACTACATGAATATGCAAATCGGCCTGACAAAGCAAGCAAAAACAAATTCAAATCCTGCTCCAGAGACACAATAGGTAAACCAGCGTAAACATGCTGAAATTATAAGTGTTTTTTGGTAAAGTAAAGTGTGCCTTGGCAGTGAATTCACACATTTGTCTGGGCCAGAACACCTACTTTCATTGTTCTAATCTTAAACAAAACAGGATGAAGTACATAACAACATGTACATAACACTAATTAAATATAATTACACAGTAAATTTAACTGGGAGATCCAATCCAGGGTTGATTTTGGATCAGTAACACATGCTAACGTTCATGCCTTAGCTGTTAAAAATCCATAAAAACTCAAGTTATACATAATTGAAAAGATTGTAAGTTCATAAAGGAGTCAAGCCAGAGCTGAAGTGGGTCTATATACTTGACATTCATGAAGCCTTAGACTGACTTTAACATGCTAGTAAAATATGGCAGGGGAAAGGAAAATGAATCAAATGTTGCCTTGGGCTAGCTGTGGCATCCAATATTCAAACTGGACAGCTGGCATTAAAAATGAATAATTTCCCCATTGGGCTTTTAGCCAAATAAATTTGAGTAAAAGGCGGATTCCTTCTGACAATAGTGGGTATAAACAGGTTTTCCCATTTCTTTTTTACAAGCCTTATTTTGTGGACTACAGTCAACTTAATGAGCCCAATCCATATGTTCATTGCTACTTTAAGCAGCTCACGCTAATCAGCATCTGTTTAGGTAGTTGACTGAAGGAGTCCTGTTGCACGCCACCCCCCCACTCCTCACAGAGAGGGGGAGAGAGGGAGGCATTCAGGGTAAGCACAGCGCGCGGATTAAAGGTGCAAATTAAGGGAAGAACTCGCACCTTGGGCAAATACAACACTCCAGTCCAACACATCATTAATCAGGCCTTAATTAACTAAAGAGGGCAACTCTGCCCCCCCCCCCCCCCCCCCCCCAACAGAACAGTCCCACACCAAACATACACCCAGATTTAATGACCGATGAATCTATTTGGGTTGTCACGTAACGTGTCACTTAAAAATTGCCCTTTTTTGGAGAATTTATCTAATGTCAAATTCCAACACCTTATTTCCATATATTGAGGCATAAGTTTGGCAACAAAAAATACTAATACTAATACATTCATATTGATCATACTAATAATATAATAATGTTATTACTGGGCTTATGCTTCATTCTAATTGTATTTGTCAAATGTCTTTAATAAAAACTGACAGAAATATGTAAACATGCTTTCCATAAAACACTAACACTTAACAGTAACTAAATAAAGACAGAAGCACATTCATGTAACAAGCACCAGTGCATGGCCCTATAAAACACATGCCTGGTGCAGTTCAGCAAAACATGGAAAAATTGAAATGTCACAGGAGGAAGACGAGGATGACGAAGAGCACCTAAACAGGAGGCTTGTTACAGCGCGGCTCGAATCTTCCCCCAGTCAACTCTCATCAGGCCAGCTGCCTCCTGCGCTCATTAGCACAGACTCTTAAGGAGCTCCTAAAGACTTTGTGAAAAATGAACGCTCATTTGAGAGGTCGTTAATTTGCACTGTTATGCAAATTAGGTGGCAATTAAGCGATAGATCAGAAGAGCAGCGCCCATTTATAACAAGTGAACAAGCATTATGACACCGTCAGATGGTGCCAGAGATGCCAGGGTACACAGGGGCACAACGGTGGTACCTGGTCCTTAGAGATCAATGTAATCACTGACCTAAAGATGCTACTGTCACCAAAGCATACAGGAGGTCAGACTATAAGGGATGTTTAATTGGCAAGGAAAAATATACTGTTATGTTAATATAGTTTATGAATAAGTAGCATTTCATTACTTAAGTTCACTATGACATTGAGAGATTTGTATAATTAACAGAGGACCACTAGTAGGTTGGTGGTCTGCTAGTGTGAAGACCATTAGGACCCTCAAATGAAATCACTAGCCCTGATATTTCAATCTGTTGTGTATATTAATGTCACAGGGTGAAAAATACAAACACTGGGACAACAATGTGCTCCAATGTAGAGGGGTGGAAGGCACCTATCAATTGTAATTAATCCTTAATTAGTCAAGATTAGGCGCTAGGCTACGACACTCTCCACCCACTAACAAAATAATACAATCCAGCTGAGACCACATTTACATATCTTTAATTAGAAAGACACAGGCCTCCTTTAAGAGCAAAGAATAAAAACAAGGCCGAGATGAGCCTGCTGAGAGGGAGGGCAGATGAGATGAAAGGTGAGAGTTCGCCCTGTGGGGATCCTGGGTCTGCACTGATAATCAAAGGTCACTGTGTGTTTGCCAAGAAAGTCAATGATGATCAAAGTCGGCCAAAGACAGAACAGAATGATACTTTTACTATTTTAACAGATGGACAACGCATTTCCCTGCCCAGTTCAAGTGTACATCAGCCTTACGTAATAGATAACCTTATGCTGTGTCAGTGCTCTCTTACTTTTTTAACCCTACCTCTTGTATCCATGGGATTCAGCTTCCTGTTTATGGGTGACACTGAGGACTTTTCACCATTTAAAAAGATATAACATTTTGATTTTGATTATTGGTATGGCATCAGTTTAAATTTTCCATTACCTGGAAACTCATGCACACATAATAATAGGTACATATGATGTTTCTACTTAATTTACATATATTTTCAAATATTATTATTCAGATTTGTATTACCATTATTTTGGGTGCAATCAAATATGTACCTATAGTGAATTTTTTAAGCTACTGAGTCCAAGTAATGTCTCTTGTGGATCAATAAATCAAAGAAATGGTCTTAAGTTAAAATGGGAACTCTTCACCTGTCCACATGTCAGACTCCTTCAGGAATAATACCACATGGGGAAA